CTGACAGAAGCCAGCTATGTATACAAGCGCTCGGGTCGAGCCGCCGGCTACAGCCGCGGACCCATGACCAGCTCACCTCTTCCCGTGGTGTGTCGACAGCCAGCAGGGAGGCGCTTCAAAAACCGGCTCCAGATTCCGTTTTGTCACACAGTCGGCAGCTCGTGCGACTCGACGGATGTGGCGAAATCCTCTGGAGCTGTTTTATTTGCACGCACGCATACTGACAGTTTGGCGGTTTCATGCCTTCCTCTCCCGACTATGAAGTGATCACACTGAGTCAACAGCGCTCAGTGGATCTTAACCACACATCGAGGAGCGAAGCCCATTTCAGAAGCTGCCACGTGAATGTTTCCATTGTGAGGCCGAGCCAACACTATCTTGATGGATCTGAAAGCGGTTTAGAAACTGTCCCCGCTAGCAGACAATCGTTTGATATTGATTGACTTGAACGAGAACGGGATGGATCTGCACCCTGTGATTACACAAAACGTACACCGCCTCGGGCAAGTGAGTCCGCTACGTCGCTACACAAGAGCTCTTTGCATAACGCCGCTTTGTGTTCTTTGCGGTCCTTAACCTGTCATGCGGGGTGAGTTACGGCGATGTTTCATGAGAAGCCAGAGAATCGAGCCTATTCAGGATATTGATTGAATCGGCTGTAAATATGGCGCCTGGGTGGAAAGTGTCATCTGTCATAATGGTGGGGAAACAGCCACGCTGATTCTGTGGATAATGTAACAGAGAGACGATAATTGGTGAGGGAACACTTCTCCTGCCGTGATAATTACCACGCTGATGGCGAGGGGAATAGATTACCAACCTGTTGTTGCGATGATTGTGTTTGTTTTTTAGAGAGAGAGAGGTACCTGCACCTGCATCCGGTCCGTCGGTGTGTTTCCCCCCCGGTGGAGATGGATTGCCCCGTGTATGTAGTTGAGAGTACCGGATTTAAAATTGATATGTACGGTGTGTTCGCGCCGCTGCTCAGGAGGGACAAATCAATTTGAAAAACCATTCTGTTGATATGAGCCGTTCCTGCCTCCTTTCTCTCGCAGTTCCTGTGTCTCGGGTCCTTTTCATTCAGCGGGGCCGAGGCTGCCTGCCAGTGCTATGCTCGGGGCCGAGGCTTGAGCTGACTGGACGGGGGTGGAGGGTGTGGTGGAGGGGGGGGGGGGGGTGAGGGCTGGGTTTGAGGCTCTGTGAGGGGCTTTGAGTGGGCCTTAGTGTAGGCGGTGTTTTATATGAAAGTCGGTGAGGGCAGGGCGCTTGAATAGGGGTGGCTGGGAAGTTGGGCTGGGAAGGTCCAGGATGCACCCCACAGTGCTTTTGTGTGCTCTCACGTGCGTGTGCGTGTGCGTGTGTGGGGAGGTAGTGATAGAGGGGGGGCGCTGTAGCACATGTGAGATCATGTGCTCATATTCACCAGTGGAATGTAAAAAGAGAGGAGGCGGGGGGGCGTTCTCCCCTCGTCTCTTTTCCCTCCGCCTAGTTGTTTTCTGTTCTCCCTCCGCTGTGCTGTAGCGCAGGCCTGTTTGTATAAGCTCTTTACAGGATTCAGAGCGCCGCGGAGCCATCCAGATGAAACAAAACCAATCGCATTTGGCTGTTTTGAAAATGATTCTCTTTATTGTGCTTGGTTCAGGCAGATCCACCTCGTTTGACATGAGGGGGATAGAGGTTCCCTCGCGTTTCGGGGTCATTTCCCAGAAACATCGTTTGTGTCCTTCCTCTGTGCACTCGAGCCGCTTTCATCAACAGGTTCTTCTAAAAAAGTCTCCAGACAAAATGAATGGAAGATGCAATTCAATCCCCCCCCCCCCCCCTCCCCCTTTTTTCCCTTTCGACCTCCTCAAAAGTACAATAATCTTCAGTCACTCGTCTCCTCCTCTCCATTGCGTGTGGCTGTGTGTAGCACCGGAGTGGCGCTGATTAAGCCAACAGAGAGACAAACAGGAGACAAAGTCCCAGCCCACCAGTTTAGTTTCACATCCTGGACTGGAGCTGGGCCGCAGCTTGCCAAGTGGAGGGCTTTTAAACTGGGCTAAACACTAATTGCTGCCCTATTTCTTTTATGTTGCTTCTTTCCCATCTGCGATGGCGCTTCCAGACCTCCACAGCAGCCAGAGCCTCATTATAGCAGACAGTTAACAAAGGCTGGGAAACAGAAGCGGAGAATTCACTTAGGATAGCTATCTAACCGCCAACCAGGAGGCCTGCTCGGAAAATTGAATCAATGACAGGGGCCGGCTTGTGATTAAATCCTTCAGGGATATTAAGATATTAAGATTTTGGGAATCTTAATTATTCATCTAAATTGTTGCCGCTCGCTTTGATAATGGAATAAATGGATTGTGTAACGGAGAAGCGGGGGGGTGCGAGGCCCATTGTTTCATTGGAGAGCTTTTTAAATCATTTTAATTCTTTTGAAACTGATCATTTTGAGGAAAAAAAAAAGAAGCCGCAATTTCCCTCCAAAGAAAATAGAAAATAACTTGAGTGAAACAAATCAAGTTCTAATTGTGAGTGTAAGGAGAGAGAGAGAGAGAGGGGGGGGGGGGGGGGGGG